AACAAGTGATGTCATTGCCAATTACTGACTTCAGCTAAAAAAACAGTTTGAGACAGTTCACCCTTATTTCCAGTCTTAATCCAGATAAGGTTTACAACCTCCTTTCTTCAAGGCCTTTCCTCCCCTCCTTTTTGCTGTACAACAGTTTCCCATTGCACCTGGGTTCACATAGGCTTTAACACTGGTGCGTGGGTTGGGGAAGGGCCGTGTTGGCTCATGTTAGACAGATTCTGTTTGATATAAAACCATCTTCAGTCACCCCTACTGATCAGAGGCTCTCTTTTTAGAAACTTCCCCTTATCTTATTAGTTATTCTTTGAACCAGACATACTCCCTATTTTATTCCTTCTGGCCTTGTAGTTCATTGTTTTCAAAGCCTTCCTTCTTCTACTTGCTAGTCAGGGCCTTTCTTTACAACACACACTTCCTTAACCAAAATCTTAAGCTAACATTAATTTTATACTTCTCCTACAAAAGGATTCTCAGTACTGGATACAGGGTTTTACCTAGAGGGGAAAAGATCATTTAAATATGAAGTTGTAAGCTGGAAATGTAACCTAAATTAATATAACACTTTTCCAGCACTCTATGATTAAGGAAAATAAATACAATAAAGCAACGAAGCTTTCTTCACATTGTCATGGGGAAAAATGTGAAAAACTTCAGGCATGACAGGTCAAAAATGGTCAAAGCAATTTTACAGAGCAGTGGGGGTAAACCTTTGACAGCAGATGACTGGACTCGAAGACCAAAGAGGTTCCTTCCAGTCTTATGTTCTAAATATCAACATTTATAACCATGTTAACTATTTTGCCTCCGTTTAATCTTATGTTATAAGCCTGCTTTAGTCTTTACTGAATTTTAGAGCTATTTATAATTTTCACATACATGATGCTTGGAGAATAGCAGCTCATATTTAAGTTTGTAGATGCTTGTTTTATTAAATTAAGTGTTTAGGCTAATGACAGAAATTCCTAGGAGAAAACTGCTTTTTTCCCAAATTAGTGATAAGGAGAAAAGCTTCAAGAATACCTTCCCTTTGTTAAAGGATAGGAAGATATTCTTCTTCTAGGATTTCAAAGAGAAGTAGTGAATAGTAACAAATTTATCAAGGATACATACCTTTGTTTACACCTACAGCAGCACGTAGAGTACAGGAACTACAAGTGTAGCTACACGCTGCAGTGAAAGGCTCTGGAAGCAGGAAGACAACAGGGCACTACACTGCCAAAAATATCAGTGTATACGTGTGGGGCACTGCTTGGAAATGTAGAGAGCTCGTGAACGGTATATACCATGGGGGAACAGGCAGGTATAGCACTCTACTCCCCTAAGGCACGCCTCACTATGTATCCTGCTACTTATACCCCAGCTAGCGGGGCATGCAGTGTCTGTACATTACATACTACCACAAGTGAATATGTACCTTAAGTCATCCGTCTGGTATAGTGAGGAGTTTTTTTTAATCTGAAGCAACAGACTTTGTAGGAATTTTGGAAATTCTGTTTCAACAACTACTACCTGCTAAATACAGTAGAACCTCAGAGTTACGAACACCAGAGTTACGAACTGACCAGTCAACCACACACCTCATTTGGAACTGGAAGTACACAATCAGGCAGCAACACAGACCAAAAAAAAACAGAGTTATGAACAAACTCCATTCCTGAGGTGTTTGTAACTCTGAGGTTCTACTGTACTGGATTAAATCAAGTAAAAATAATCATCTAATTATCCAACTGTAATGTAATTTGGTCTCAAAATACTGATATTTATTAGTAAAAATAAATAAATAAATTTTAAAAAAGTTTCACAGCTCTTCAGATATTTTAACAGATGTAATTTTTTTTCTTACCTCTCCAGCTTTTGCACATTCCTTAGCTCCTTTGTGAAGGGCCACCCAAGTGTCTTCATACCTGAACAGAATAAAAATTAAACTTTTGTGGTTATGCTTACCATAAATTCAGTCCCAACTCAAAACAAACATTATGAATGTTGGTGTTTCATCTTATCTGTGTATTTCTAAATACAAATTTCACATTAGTAGCATATTTGTCCCAGTTGAAAACTTTGCATTTGCTGCTTAGTGCTCCATGGATTTCTTAAACTGCTAATTAACCTGACTAGAAAACACAGCCGAGTCATATCTTCATAACTGTACAGAAAAAAAAACCTAAACACACTAGTGGAAACACTAGTCCCACAAGGAAAGCAATAAAATACTAACATTAAAGATCTTATCATTGTATGCAACACAAATAGCATTCTGATTAGGATTTTTTTTTTAAGGTATACGTGCCTATGGAATCTGCGCTCTAGTACATACATCCATGTAAACTTTTACTGGAACACTCAGTAAGACCATTGACCCCAGAGTTATTTAAGCAGCTCTTCATCCATACAGTGACTGTTTATTACAATGCCAGGTGCACTTCCGGATACTGCAAATATAAACTATTATTTTTATTAATTATTTACAGTAGCACCTAAAGGCCTGAAGATTGAGGACCCACTATGACAAGTTCTTTTGGGCCAAGATACCTAAGATATACAAGTATGTATAAAATAAATCAGAGGGAATTATGGAAGTGCCATATGCATTTTCATAGGCCAGAGTGGATTGATTTATATCCAAGTGATTTAAATCACCAACTTTAATCATGATTTAAAATCAAACAGTAGAAAATCTTGAGTAAATAACTAAAATACAAATTGATTTAAATCAAGAGGTCAATTCTCATTGGTTGGTAACCATTAATTTGCAGCTTGATTGATTTGCAGCTAAATATAGCCTTTACACTAAATTTGGTTCTTTTTTGCTAACCAGGAGGACACACTATATCTATACACATTTTTACACTTTAAGTTAGAACTGAATTATGCATATTTCTAATTAACTCTTTGGAATTTTTCCCTCCACACACACACTCTTGTGATTTGTGTCAAGCTGTACCTAGATGAAAATTAGAATTCAATTAAAATGCATAAACATAGCATTTTCTAATGATTATTAGTTTAACAAAAGTAATTTAGATATGCTGGACACCTAAGAAAAAAGTTTATCAAAACACATTTTGCATTTAATACTAACCAATTTATTAAACAAAAGGAAGTATCTGTAGTAATAAGTAAGCTGACAGTGACTAGAAACAAAGGCCAAATGCACAGCAACTTAGGTGCCTCAGTCTGGGTTTAGGCACCACTGTGATTCACAAAATGCCCGCATACCCCTGGAGATGCCTAAACTCACAACGCTTAAATTTTCAGGGGAAGAAAGTCTCAAGCTTCTGCTGCCTCACTCTAGGTACCCAGATGCCTATCTCCCGCCTAAGCCCCAGAGCAATGCATGAATGGGGGAAGAGAGGCATTTGCTTGCCTAACTCACATGCGGGACCTCATCCAGTACGTGATCTCAAAGGCCATTACCAGATCAGGTCCCGTTCAAAATCTGGTCAGAGGAGGACTAGTTCCAGAAAGATCTATGTATAAGGTTGGCATGGAAGAAAACATGAAAGTGTTTTTGGAAGAAATAAACATATAGGCAAAATGACTAACATAGTTGGTGAGGCATAGCAGTTGACATGATAAAGTACAAAAGGAAGTCAGTAGGAAGGACCTACATTACAAAAGAACTTGAAATGGTAAGTACCAGAAGCTTGTATATGGTCTACTGGAGAAGGGAAATCCAGCAGAAGAACTCTATATTGCAGGGGTGGCCAAACTACCCCAAAAACAGTCTCAATACACAACCACTAAGATGCTGAATAGTGGTCCCTCTATTTTTATCCTGCAGTGTTACAGAAAGTTTGATGAACTTTCTAAATCCCCTGGCCTAGTTTAAAAAAAAAAGTACTGCGGGGGTTTGGTATTCCCCCACCCAAACGCACACATATAGGAAGTATGGAACCGATCTTCTCCAAAGACAGATTCTGGGGGGAAAGGGTAGGAAATTAATGGCCTGCTTAAGGACAAACTCAGTTACCACTTACTGGAAGCAGGTTTCAGAATATCACTTCAGACTTAGAGGAAGAGAAGATACTCAAGAGATACTGTAGGCTAATTTAAAGCTTTCACTAAAAGCTTTTTATTTTTAAAGCAATAGTTTTTACAGGATTTTGTAAAGCAACTTCTAATAGGTTTCTTTAAAGTAGTTTTGAAAGGTGGCATGAGAGCCTCATGAAAAAAGGGTCACTTAAATAACAGGGACCAAAAGAACTGGATTAAAGAGATATCAACTTGGGGGGGGGGGGGGAGAAATCACATCTAACATTTTTCTACCTTTTCCTACAAGCACTACCCAATATAAACAGGACAGAAAAATAACTAGAAAAACAAATATACTGCATTTTAGCAGGGTCGCTTTCATAAGTTTTTATAAAAGCCCAAATTAATAAGTAAAAAGAAAGCAATCATTCCATTTTTAATTTCTCAGACACTGGTATTAATTTTATTCAGAGGTTCATTAATGGAGTCAAATGGATTTGACCAATTTCATTATGATTGGACAGTAATGGAAATAGTGCATGGAGGTAGTAATAACTAGGAAACATTGGACAAACGAGCAGAGAATTTTAAATGGCAGTATGAATAGGTTTGTGTCTTTCCTTGAGCTATGGCTTGATTCAGTAGATTTCAACTGTAGTTATTCAGAATTATTAAACTCATGATCAGTGGTTTTAGTGAATTTATATTTTAAATTTTTGAGAAATCTTAGTCTGAATAAGAATACATCATACCCTTTTAAATGGCTTCTTCAACATATAAAGCAAAAATAAATAGTAGTATGCAAAATAGGCAATTTTAAGTGGTTGAGTGTCAAGTAATTTTATTCTAAAAATAACTGAAAGTTTATACTATAGACTTCAGAAACAAGAAATGACAGAGCAGACCTCAACTGCCAATGCAGGGAAGTGACTCCTATTTCAGTCACATGGGGTTCTTCCTATGCCTTAGGGGACATCATAATTAATTATATTATTAATTATTAGAGAAAGGAAAAGAAAAAGTTAAAATACCTCAACAGAACAAAAACAATGATTGCTTCAGTTGCAATCTCTTCCGTATGTCTCTCTGTGGAGACCTTTCAACAGAAGTTACATCTTTGAATGTGGATCCACCTCTGGCAGGGACTCTCTCTTCAAGAGAAGTTAAAATCAAAGTCTATTATTCCCAAAAATCAGTAGAACCCTCTATCTAGTGAATCATAAATAATAAACTATAGATGGGTAAAAAGAACTTTCAGAAAGCCTTTGACAAAGTCTCTCACCAAAGGCTCTTAAGCAAAGTAAGGGATAAGAGGGAAGATCCTCTCATTGATTAGTAACCAGTTAAAAGATAGGAAACAAAGAGTAGAAAAATGGTCAGTTTCAGAATGGATAGCGCTAAATAGCGGGGTCCCCCAAGGATCAGTTCTGGAACTAGTACCGTTCAACATATTCATAAATGATCTGGAAAAAGGGTTAAACAGCAAGGTAGCAAAGTTTGTATGATACAAAATTACTCCTGATAGTTAAGTCCAAAACTGTTCGTGAAGAGTTACAAAGATATCTGTGACATAAATGGGCACAATCCAGACTAAAAGGGGGCTGCGCCACCCCTCCCCTACAACCTTGGATGCCTTACAATGCCTCACTCTAGTGGCTCCCATCTGGGCCACTCACAGCCTTCAAGCATGCAAGCCACACTCTGACTGTCTATGTGTAACTGCATCTTGCTAGCTACACCCTGGCTCTCACCAGCCTTGGTTGTCCTGTAGGGTGACCCAACACTCCCCCAGTCCCAGATTTTCCCCAGAAACGTATATCCCTGTACTGCCCACCCCTCTCCTGGACAGTACAAATACAGTAAGTCTGTTATTCCTTTAAGGGAATAATATGCCAATTCATTACCTTAATCAGACACTTCAACACACTGGATTAGATCAAACAGTAAAACAAGTTTATTAAACTACAAAGAGATTTTAAGTGAGTATAAGTAATGAGGCACCAAAGTCATCAATGGTTACAAGAAACATCAAGATAAGATGTGTACTAGTATCTACTTAAGGATTTTAGGCTAGGTTTACATTACAGAGTTAAGTCAACTTGAGTTACGTCGATGATCATAAACTGCTGTAACTATTTCGCTTGTGCATGTTCACACAACATTCCTTGTTTTCGGTGGTACACATCCACAGTTGGTGCTCTAGCTTCAACAGAGAGAGCAAGGCACCTTGGGTAGCTATCCCAGCGTGCAACTTGCTATCTTCTACAGCTAGGAGTTCTGGGAATGGATAGCAGTGCATCATGGGAGTGACCTTCTGACTACGTTTTTGCACCTTTTTCCAACTACCCCTGTAAACCACGCGTCCGCCATCTCTGCCTGAAAGCATGGATCCTGACAATCTCATGAGTGTTACGAACACAACATGGTTGATCCTACAGTATTTCATGAGCTACAAAACTGAAAATGCTACTGTGGTGCCTGCACTGCTGTGGGCCATAGAAAGAAAGAATTCAAGATCGATGATGGCATTCAGCGGGCAGCTGCATATGGTGGACCATTGGTATTGGGCTTAGGAAACAGGCACTGATTTGTTGAATCGCATTGTGATGCAGGTATGGGATGAGGAGCAATGGCTGCAGAACTTTCAGATGTGCAAAGCCACCTTCCTGGAACTGTGTGCGGAGCTTGCCCCTGCATTGTAGCACAAGCACACCAAAATGAGAGCTGCCCTCATGCTGGAAAAGCAAGTGGCTATTACTGTGTGAAAGCGGTCAACTCCATACTGCTACCGGTCAGTCACGAATCAGTTTGGAGTTGGGAAGTCCACTAAGAGGGTGGCAGTGATGCAAGTGTGCAGGGCCATTAATCACCTCTTGCTACAAAGGACAGTGACTTTGGGCAATGTGCAGGAAATAACAGATGGCTTTGCAAC